TGAACCCCTAAAGTAAGACCTTGTAAAATTGCAGATTGCTCCAAAAAATTAATATATGCCATTGTAGGCTTTAAAATTACATTTTTGCGCTCAAAGAAAATCATAGAAGTCCCATTAATTGATAAATATGGTTGACTAGCTTGATATGAATGGGGACCAGGTTGGTCAGGCAGCCAGGCGCCTGCCCCTCCTAGCAATCTAGCAATTCTGTCTCCAAGGTCAAAAGAATTCTAGGATTATCCATAAATTGGATAAGACTAGGTTTTTCACTGTTCTCAACACTTGATTCTTTTAAGTTTCAAGAATATACATTTTGAAAGATACTTTTCCTGCAGATCTAATACCTTCAGTATGGTCAGCGTCAATGAAACTTGGCACTGGATAGAATACCAGAAGGCTATATTTATTATGAGCTGAAAACATGCAGCAACTCTTGCAAATTACCACATAACATCACCATCACCAAAACCTACCTGCACGACTCTTAAAACACAATCACCAGTCAACCCAAAAGTCTAACTATACCATCCGGGCCACCAAGTACAAACACCTCACTACATTGTTCACTACCCAAAATTTTGCATTTTCAGTTTGAATTCCTAGTCCAAATACAGCAACCATTCTCTATCTCGCATAACCATCTCCTCCACACCATCCCCAGAAACTTCTCTCATCGTAGAAACGCAAAAACTTGAATTTAAGAATCGTAGATGCAAAGGATGAAGAGATTTATCACAAGGCCCAGTATTTCCCTTACCAAACAATCCAAACATAAATATACAAGTAGGCATACCCTTATAATTATTCTCCCATCTAAATTCCTTGCACCTCCAGGAACCCTGTCGCCAACTCCAGCCTCCAATGGTTTGACTTCTCCAGTCAGATGCTCAATGGTAATCGTAGCACTGCCTTTGAAAACTTCACAATCTACAGGCACAGACTAATCACAATACCATTCCCATTATTCTTTTGATATAGAAGACTCAAAAACCCCAAATTATATGCATGGACATGTGCTCAGTTGTGTAAGAGCATGTGTGTGTGTGTGTGTGTGTGTGTGTGTTAAAGTCTGCTCATTAAGTTTCTTTAATGATAATACTTTAATGGCGGGATGCTTTCAACAGTATAGATATGAAATAGTGGGGATCTTTGAGCAACAAAAGCAACAGAAAGCATGCCATGGAAAGGACAAAAGTTTTGCTCCAAAGGGGCCGCAAAGAATTGGTAAGCTATGTGAAAAGATTGAAAACGGGTCATATATAAAATTAAGTTTCCCATTTTTGCCCTGTGATGCTTATGACTGCAATATAAGAACGCCTCTAAGGTAAAAAGTGACAGCTTTTGTAAGCATCCATAAGTTAGTGAATTCATATATTAAAATGTACTTAGAACCAATAGTTATGGCAAAATAAGCATTTAAACAGGCAAACTGATTTGTGTCTAACAATTGACAAGCTCAATCCCTACCCAGCTCATTTGTTGAAGCATGTCAACCCTCTCTATCAAGGAAATATTATTAGATTTCTGGAATGATAGTCAAGATTTCATCCCTTCTCTTTGTTCTCTGTATCCTTAGGAATCACATGCACCGTGCCTGTCTGTTTCCCTAATTGTAGGCAAGTTGATCCTCTATATCATGGAGATTTATTCTCTTGTGCCTCTATACATAAAAGGGAGAATCGCCCTTCAAAAAATGAATAAGCTTATTCTTATTCTTGTAATTTTTCACAACTCTTATTCATACATACTTCCTTACTTTGTTTGGATACCAACAATGTTTTGCTGTAATATTTAATTACAATGCAGTAAATCATACACCAAGAGTTCAGTAGATCTGAGCAACAAAATTGAAATCAATACTAGCCAATGATTCAAGACTGCTGAGTTATTTTCACGATTTTATAATCAGCTAGAATTTCAAATGCCATGTCAGAATTACAGGTGAACAACAAACGTACTAAACTTACCTCACCAGCTCCAACCAAGATATATGAGCCTACAGTTACATCATGCACAGGAACCCTCTTATACGCCAAATCAAAGGTATTAGGGAGTTCATCGTCACTGTCAGTTTCCAGCACAAGGGCAAAATCTGGATTATTGTCCTTCAACTCTTTAACATCAATCATTGAACGGCTGGTGAAGTACTCCTCAGCTGTAGAAATCATTCGTTTTAGACAAGCAAACCTAATGAGGATCTTGCCTTATTAAACTAAGCTCAACAGACGTATGGTCTATATAGATCACCTATATGGGCCAGATTAAACATGGCAAGAAGCAATCCTCCCTCCAAAGAATTCCCCATAAATAGGGACGCAAAGGCTGCCAGAGCCATCAACACATGGATATTTACTTTTCCACTGCCAATTTCGACAAGCGCGTCAAGTGATGCAGGAACCTGTAATACACACGTACGTTTTATTAGCAATCCTCTAATTGTTGATATGGTGATAATTCACATTGGTCTATGAATTCTTAGAACCATCTGTTTTCAATTTACGGAACTCCTTATGGAATAATATTTTGCAGCAAATTAAAACTACCATGTCAGGCAGGACGGAGGACAATGTATTGGAGTGAAAAAATTATATACCCCAACTAAAGGAAAAGCGATGAAAATGAGAGTATTTTGAACAGGCTTGATGATGGGCTTAGGCAAGGTATGGGGGCAAATGGCAGCAGCCACAAATAAAGCCGTTGAACAGCAGCATAAATGCAAATGTTCTCTCAAGAAATCTGCCACGTCTATCCATCTGGTGGCTTTGGCGAACCTGAGAATAGCTTTTTGAGGTCCGGTAAGATTCGCAGAATCGCTGCCGTGTGAGTGATGGTGGTTGTGGCAGCCGTGATGGTCATGGTGAGCTTGATCGCTGTGGTGGTCGTGGTGATCGCGCTGGGTTAGAGCGCTGTGGTGGTGGTGATCAGTGCTGGCTTCAGCAACACAAGGCAGAGGGCGGCGATGAAGCCTCTGAAGCTTACGAGAAGCAAAGCGGCTGCCTAAAGTCGAATAGTAAGAGAAGGAGGGTTGGTGGAGAAGGGATTTGGAGAATCCCATACTCTTGGCTCCTCTGTAGAATACAAGTGACTGAAATTGGGTCGCCGGCAGTAAGTTTGGGACAGTCTCCATTTGCAGATTTGGAGAGGGAGGGGATTCAACTTCAATTTTCAGGCCATTATCAATGAAGCGGGAGAGAGAATAGAATAACGAAGTTCAGCCGATCTGTCCCTCGTCAATAATTCTGGGACTATGTCTGCTCTTCAACTTTGCGGATGAAGCGAACCATTCAGTTTGTCGTTATGTCATCCACACCACATCGTGTGCTCATCCAACTTAAACGGGTCCCCTCGTGGGTCTTAGTCCCTGGGAAACTCTGTGTCCCAGGGCCTTGCATTTGTACCCCGACGCTTAAAAATGCTAAAAATAATATACTTGAGCTAAGGCTTACATTAATTAAAATATGAAAGAAAAACTACACCAATAATTCAATATGGTTACCCCAACCGGTAAAAACTATGGTTATCCCAAAAAAAAGAAACCTCCGTCAATATAACGCAGTAGGCGATATTGGAAATCAGAAAAGAAATCCTATTAGATAGTCTTGAGTCAAGAAAAATAAGACCTTAACTTAAAGTTATCTCTAGAATACTGTTCAAAAATATTTATAAGTATGTTTTATATAAATAAAAACAAAATTCTCTTTACATACTTATACTATATTTTATAAATCATAATTTAAAAGTTACGTGTAAACTATTCTAAATGGGTGATTATTTTCATTACAAATAATTTTTTAAGTAGATCTTACCATTTGATTTTTTTTTTTTCACTTTGTTATTCAATTATATAAATATTTCTGCGATAAAATCTAGGTATTAAAGTTTAATTGGAGATTGGTTATAACGGATATAAATGAATGGAACTAAATTTTATTCTGGCAAAATCAAAATCTCTCTTAAATGCAAATTTGTTAATAAGCGCTTGTGCAAAAAAATTTTGTCTCAGTCCTCATTTTTTTGCTTTAATGAAAAACAATTCTTTCATTGATATTAATTAACTTGGACTGTGAAGTTTCATTACAAGAGAACACCTTCCTAGTTCCTACACACGAGGTCGATAGTCCTCACTCCTCAGGCTATATGATATTAGGCTAAATTTCATATGTGGGAGTGGGAGGCTGTAGATTCTTTCACGTTGATATCAGCTTGTCCTTGTACTTAAAAAATGAAAAATAAAAAGGCCACCTTCTTTTCCCTCATTTTATTCACAAAATTCTTCAACCTCGGAATTGGTGGTTGGATTTTTCTTTCAATAAATATAAAATATTAAAAAAAATGAAAGGATGAATTACTAGACCTTCAAAGGTCCAATTTCAGTTCTTAGTTTTCACTGAAAAATCTTTGCACGGATTTCCTAGAGCACCATCCTCAAGGAGAACCGTAGAAGTCACTTCATTCACTAATAACATGCTTTCTTACTCGTAAGGGCATAAGACGATGAATTTTCTTTATCTTTTCAATTCCTTTCTATCCTTATGCCAAAGAAAATACTATCTCCGGTTCTAATTATAAAAGCTAGTTTACTAATTTCAAGAGATTAAAGAAGTAAGTTAATTAGTTATTTGCAATAAATATATATTGTTTTTCCTAAAATATCCTTACTAATTAAGTTTATTGATTAGAACTACTATTATTAGAAAGTCTATTTTGAAAAAATATATATAAAAATATAGTCTTATAATTAGAACTAAAATAAAAATCAAACAAGATTTTATATTAAGAACGAGTAGTATAACAATAACCAACTGTATTTCGCTTCAAAAATGTATTGCTCATATGAATTGCATAATATCATCGTGCTCTGTTAGTATCCAAATTTTTAATAAATTAATCAAAAAAAATTTGTTCATACGACTTAAAATTATTTGTTCTGCCCTTTTCACTAGCTCTTTCAACAACTTTCTTTGTATGTATAGCCCTAGTCACATCACAAGTCCAAATAATTGCCTCTAAACTTCCACGGGTGATCCTTATCCGTGTGGTCTATTCCTCAAATTAAAAGACAATACATTTTTTTCTTTCGTTTTTTGAATAAAATAGAAAAATAGGAAGACTGCCCTAACCTTAGTAAGCTAAGCTCAGATCTCAACTCACCTAAATTTTTTTATTAAAAAAAATAAACAGAAAATTAAGACTAGTTAAATGATAACGGCAACAATAGAACACCCATGCCTCTCGACCCCTGCACTAAGTAAATAAATTAATAAAATAATACATATGATGGTTCATGTCAGAAATTTGAGGTCTTGGACCCTACAAAATCGTCCTGTCAACTAAGCCCACTCCTTTTGGGCCAGGCCCCACAATGATCGAAACCAAGGAAAATCTAGCAGAATTATAGTGAAAATCGCCTCCTTTTTTTTTTAGGGTGGTTTTTTGGGGGGATGGGTGGTTGGAGGAAGTCGGGACACACACCGGCTTGATGACATTTTGTTGATTTACACCCTTCCCAAGAGCAATGTGTCATTCCCAAGCATTCTTCCTAATAGAAGACAAAAATGCCTTGCCGGAACTCATTCACGAGAGGAAATCAAACTTGATTCCTGCAATGTGAAAGAGGCGCTCCCTATATCGCAGCCCATCTGCCGACTGCCATCACTATCAATGCACATAAACGAACACATCTAATGAGCCACAAGCACCTCAACTATCAAATGAATTTCAGTCGTATGATAGCATTGGCCAAATTACTGTGTGAATTCTGAAAGACTAAAGAATGAATTGACAACGACTGTTACAACAACAATGGGGTAGTTTGTCCAGGGAATCGCAGGATATATATATATATATATATAACATTACCAAACTGCCGTTGATCATGAAAAATACGAAAAATGTGATCCAAAAGGATTCATCACTACCTCTCATTCGTCTTTCCCCTTTCCTTTTCCTTCAGAAACCTTTATGCCATCATATGCCGAAAGAAAGAAAGTACTTTGATTTTTCTGCAAAAATCTGCAACGAACTTATTTATCAAAACCGACAGCAATAAAATTATGAAATCCTGAAAAGAAGCATACCCGTGAAATAAAATGTTCCCTCCCAAAGTTTGATAGAAACATGTCTCTTTTCGCCCCACATCCCAAGAGCAAAGAAAATGAAGTAAATTAAACTATGACCTTGAGGGCATATTTCTTCAACACTGACTTGATAAACACTAAAAAGGTCCCATAATCACCTTGTACATGCATATTAGTTATCAAGACAAGACATCCAAATTCACTAGAGGTAAATCATTTTTCCTTTCTATGTGTCTGTGTATACATATGTAATGATCCACAACCTATCCTATTAGTATAATAAACCTCTCAAACTACTAGTCATAAAGAGAGATCTGGATCAGTTTTAGAAACAGCTAATGTCAATGACATTTTTCCCTTACATAAAATTCTTAAATCCTTACATAAATAGGCACCTGACACCGACTTGCTCCCCCAGGAAAGAAAGTCAAAAGGAAAGGAAAATGCTAGAACTTGCACGTAGACTTTAAAAACTGAAAAATTTTATACCCACAGTTGACAAGCAGTGAAATCTTGTGCTTGGAGGTCAAAAGCAGCGCAAAAGATTATAATGATGAGAAATAATATGTATTAGTCTTTAAATCATTATTTAAGCTCAGCAGCAATGGGGTATGCATCTTTCATCGAGGATTCAGAACAACGGTATTAATGAGCTGGGTTTAGTTACTTGAGAAAGTCGAGTAACTTCTGCTGCAGGTGATTCAGTGTTTCCTCCTCAATATTCACATATGCCAAGAGCTCAGGTAACTTAACTGCAACCACCAGAATATAATGAAAATTTTGAGGAAATAGATTTTTTTTTTTGGGGGGGGGGGGGAGGGGGGAATTGTCCAGCGCACAGATCACAAGTCATGACTGTTAAAATGCTATAATAAGTGAGCTGTGATGACAATATACAAGATGTATTCACTAAAATGATGCCATCACCAGACTAGAATAGAAATATGAGATTTATGGGGATATATATTCTCGGTGCAACCACCCAGCAAAGATTCCATGTTTACGAGTGTCAAAATTGGACACTTCCACCAAAATAAGAGCAGAAAATAATTACTGACACTAAATTAAAAGATCACCTAATAAAGAAGAGAAAAAGGTAAATCATATTCTAAAAGAAGAGGCAAAAATACAATTTTGCATGTGTGCATATATGAACAGTCCACTGTCCTCCACAAATTTTAAAGCAGCATGAAGTTATGAATGTACCAAAGAGACGCAATAAATGTTCAGCTCCGTATATGGTTGATGGTGAAACATTATCAACAACTGCTTCATTATACTGCTTCTGTTCTTTCTTGTACAAGAGCATCATAGGCAACGCTTTATCAAAATAACACCTAATTCCTTTCAGAATTTCCCCAATTGAATCAGCCACCCTGCATCAGAGAGGTAAATTAAGCATACTTCATCATTAGTGTGATTGAGGTGTCCAGAACTTACATCTCAGAGAGTCAAGTTAAAGCCAATTGCAAGAGAAAGTGAAATAACAGAATACATAGCCAGGCAAGAAGAAAAGGGAGGTTTAGATGTATCAATAATATATAAGAATCTTACATGCCATCCTTCTTTGACCTGTATTCAAGATACTTTGTCAAAATTTCATCAACAGTTGGTGAACGAGGAAGTTTCACAAGCTGTAGGACAAAGATCGGCATAAGATTCTAATCTTTCATACCTTAAGAAAGAGCAATAATGTAATTGAACAGTAAAAAAATCAGCTGTCACATCAGAATTTGAACAACATTATCCACAAATCTTTAAACCACAATGAGAAGCTCAGGAATGCATGGCAACTAGTAACTTTTAGATTGGTGAACTTTCACCAAGCAATTCAAACTTGACTTAAAGTGGTCCTTCACAAAGCATCTTTCTCCAACTTGAATTAAATTTTAGCATAAATGGTTCTCCGCTGTTAGATATTATGAAATTGTTTGTGGCCATTCATTCATTGGCTTGAGCTTTTGGGTTGAAATAATCTTTGATGGTTTTCAATTTAAGACGGGCAGCTATGACATGATTAGGACCTTAGACTACCAGTGTGAAGCATCTATTTAATTTGCATGGAAACAAATAAATCACAAGGATACTTGGATTCCGAGCACTAACCCCTTTTTGAGTTTGTATTTAGCATTTAGGATGATATGCATGAAATGCAAAATTTACCGTTCAAATATTTACTTATCTTGATATGTCATCAATTAATTAAGGTGGTTTTAAGTTGCACGGCTGAAATTTGCTGAAGTGTGAGCTTCTGATACATTGTTCTCACTAGTACAAAACTTGTTGGTAGTGCTGTAAGAAGAAGGGAATTCTAATCTGTTCTAGTGCACTATCTTTCCTCATTTTGTTTGAAGAATCATCAATATCAATATTAATGTAAAACCGATGGTAGCTCTCCCTAATCACAAGCCATAAACAATGCAGCTAATTCTCAAGCTTTACATAATGCATGGTATGGACCTCAAATACTTTCTATGTACCTTGTCCTGCTGAGAAACAAAATCCCAATCATCAACAAGTTGTTTTTTTAAGGTTGCCGGAATTTGAATCTTGACTAGCTTTTCAACGGAGACACTGCCCTTCTGACAATTAGAAAAAACACAATTAGCTGAATATTTTGAAATAGAGTGATGGCATCAAACCAACAGACAGATATCTGGTATCTTGGAGAAAATGAAAAAGAATTTTGACCCTAATTCATAAATTCATCAATGCTCCTTCAAAAATTCTCAGATTTATTATACTATTTCTATCATTGTAAAATACATAGAAGAGGAAACTACATTTGACCTTAGAAATCCTAATTACAAAATCAGCATATGATTTCTTTTGGGGTAAGAGTAATAAATGTATATGAAAGGTGAAATGCAATTTCCCCATGTAAAATTTCTTTTGGGGTAAGAGGAATCTATGAGTGTAATTAAGGAGAGAATGCAAACCAGACCTCAACTCCTGAATCATTCTTTCGCTTCTTCCCCTTAGGCACTGCATGAAATTAGACAAATTAGACTTATACAACTATGCTGTGGTGGCACGAACATATTACATGTTTTTCTCCAACTTAATGAATCAACGAACAATATTGCATCAAACAAGCCAATTGTAAGAGGCCTAACTTGTAAACTACTGCATTTGAAAAGAAGAAAACCATAGTAATATTACTGAATAGTATTATTAGAATGCATAAAAGATGAGTAAAGAAAAGGAAAATGAAACAAAATTTACTATATACCATTAGTCTTGATGTCTTCTTTATCCACTTTTGCATCTAAAGAATACAAAGCAAACATAGAATTATCAAGAAAACAAAAAGGAAGAATTCAAAGTATAATCTAGCCAGCAGTTCAGGAAATAGAGATTTCTTCCTGTATGCTTCTGCATAATAAAAAGGGTAATCCTCAAGGAAATGTAAGCCTTTTTTACCGGTAGAATTTTTGGCCTTAGCTTGAGCTGAACGCCCTGACTTGACATTCTTGTCTACACCTTGTTTTTTGTCAAGAGCCTGCTGTTTCAGGACATTCTCTTCAGTATGTTTCATTAAACGGTCCTCACCCACCCATTCGTCCCAACTGTTAGAAAGATGTTTAATCCATGATAATGATTCGGTGCTCCCTTTTAAAAGTCATAATTATCAATGATAGCAAATATCTATGGTGAAATAAGTAACAAACATAATGATTCTCTCTTGTCTACATAGACGAATCAATACAGGCTGTTCAAAATACAATGTTAGAAAAGTTATGTCGCCTCATGACTGCTTTGGTTGCCATTCAACATAACAGGTACAACAATAACAATATGAAACTAACACAAGCTGAAAGTTTCAGGCCTTATCACTAACGAAAGGCAATCTGCACCTCCACAATTTGAAAACTGAACTTGAAATGAAATCAAGGTAAGTTAAGGCACTCACTTTTTGTTCCATCCCTGCAAAATAGAAACCAGTGAAGCAAACAGAAGTTAATAGCATAATACGAAATCCATTCAAAATTCTACTATTAATTGATTCAAGCTTTCAACTATAAAGCTGAAACATTACATGAAACCTAAAACTAAAGAAGACTCCACATAAGAGATTATATATACAAACAAGTTGAGTTCTGGAAACAAGATCTATCGGTGGGGGGAGGGATTATTTTGGAAGAACTTACAAGGTAGTGAACAAAATATCTCCATTCATTCTTTCGAATCTCAGCTTTTTGTACCTAATTATCATAGAACACAGTAAATTGGGTCAATACTACCGGAAGGTAAAAGAAAAGAATATAAAATAAAATAAAATAAAAAACACTTCATCTGCTGAGGCTTCACATTTCATGCATACAAAAGAAGATTAGAAGACATGAGAGGAAAGAACCCTGGATATATCTTCATTTATTCGTGTTACAGCAACCCTTAAATTTCATACTAGTCAAAACTTGAACGTTGATTGAACAATCTCAGGGCTAAGCAAATAATAATCAATCACAAACATATCAGATTAAGCATGATAATTTGCTTCATATCTATATATGGAACAGAACTTTCAAAGGAATGATTTAATTTAAAAATTAGCGAGATGTACCTACTGAAGAGAGAAGTTTAAAGCCTCCACTATTATAGACAAACCAACTAGCTGTTAGATTATAATAACAAAGATTCTTAACATTATTCCCATGTTTGCAGCAATGGGGAGCCACGATCCCTTAACAACTGAATAATCATTCTTTTAATAGAATAAAAACATAAGTATGCTGTCTTAGAAATTAGAAAGGCATTAGAATTACTGCAAATGGAAGTGGATGAAGCATAAACACATCAAAAAGGAGCTGCGTCTGTCTGACACAAGCCAAGCATCTTATATCAGATACGATGTAGCGACTTAAATTACATATGGACAAATTTTGTTATTTCCATATCCATGCTTGTTTGAGACACCAAAATGATAACAATCTATTAATGTCATTCGAAGCCGATCTTTTACAGGGAAACTGTTCATTAAAACTCAATGTGAACAGCGATAATTGGTCATTTGGAAATCATTCAATCAGCATTCTTATCAAAACCTGTCTTCCAGTGCCTATAATTGAGGAAAGTGTAGCACTTCTAGTTTCCAACAACTTCTTAACGACAGCCTTCAGAGAAAACCACAATTACGTAGAAAAAGTTGTTTCTCAGTTAACAACCGAACGCTCGAAGCAAAGCCACACTCAGTGGAGCCGATAATTCCATGAAAAAAGAACAAAGCGAGCAGGCAGATCAAAATGATAAGGGAGTAAAAATGAATTTGCAAGCTGCAAAGGAAAGTGATGGGTACCTTTGCTTCGTAGATGCGAGGGCCATGATAGGCAAGTACTTTCTCGCCCTCGGAGTACAGGCTAGAATTAGAAGGCGGAGTATTGCCGCCGGATGTGTCGCCGTCGGTCGTGGAGTCGTCCTTCGACGAGTTTCCCATGTTCGAGCTGGAGAGAGGAACGCTTCAGCGTGTGGAAGCTCGAAGTTGAAGGTGATGTCCTTTTCGCCGTGAAATCCACTGGCTCCAACCAGCGCGCCTTATTGCAGATTTCGGGGGGAGTCGGAGTCACAGTGACAAAATGAACAGAAATCATTAGCGGTTATGGACCCCATCTGTTTCATCTCACGACCGTTTTATTTTTGGGCTTTCATCAAGCCCAATAAGAAGCCCAAATAAATTTAAGCAATATTCCAGCGGGAGTCTCTACTTTTTCGTCTTTTTCACCAGCCTAGCAAAATTGGCTCCCGCCAATTTGCAAATCCTATCAGTTGATGACTATTGTGAGTTGTGAGTTTAACTTTGTCAGTCTGTAGCATATTTTAATTTGGAAAATGTCCGCATTTTATATAAAAATAAATTCGAAATTAGTAAATTCTTTACACGTCGTATGGAACATTTCATGTTTTACCTTCCAGATCAGATTGTTCACATGCTGACATATCTGCATCAGTCATGTGCATAATCTTCCTGTCATTCTTCGGAACTAATTCTTGTGCTGCCGTTGCGTCTCTTTCCAATTGGACTCATCTTCAGTAATTGAGTTTTCGCAGAGAGGTGGTCTTCATACCAAACATAGAAGCGAGAGCGAATTAATGGAGAACAAGACTCGATTTTCTCACATACGTGTACTATATATTACTGTAAGATTGAGCAGATATTATGTGGTCCCTGAAGGGATAAATTATGGAGGAGCAAAGAGCAATTAGTTACTTTTTCCGATTCATTTTGTAACCTCCAATAACTACTTTATGTGAGTTAAAAAAATTTTAGTCATTTATTATAAAATCTTAAAATTATCATCAATATAATGAAAGTTATTAGTTACTTCGAAGGGATGTTTGGTAGAATATAACACTTTAAACAAAAGCACGTACGTCATATTAATAAAGAACATGTCCGAGATCCATATGATGAGTAATGGAGGGAGGATTTGATACAGAGTTCTTAATAACAGAAGTTAGCATCGCAGAACTTCTCCTTATTCTAGTTAACCACAATAGCCTTCTTTGAAGTGCATAAGAAGTTTTTTTTTTTTTTTTTTTTAACTGCAGACGTTTTCAGAAGCTCCGAGAAAGAAACGGTGAAACGAGTATTATACTCTAGTATGTGTAATGATGGTGGTTTTTTGAAGTGACCTATGGAAGAGAAGCGGGTGAGCTTCGATTTATTTATTGCAATATATTTAACAATACGTAGGGAAATAAGTGGCAAGACACCTATGAATCTGATGACCGATGCCATTCAAGTGAACGAACATTATATTGGGTTATAATTAAAGAGCATCAAAAGTACACATATGAATGAAATAAAAAAGAAGTGGTGGACAATCTTAAGCTAGCCAGCCAACCAATGGCTTGTTTAAGCTAGTGTCCCTGACCAGGACTGGGCCCATTATCCATAAGCCTTCGGACATGACTTGTAGAATCTGCAAACTTGTTTCCAAGATTCAAACCCTCAAGGACAGCTTCATGAGAGTTGTTATTACTAACACTATGATCTAACCTCGAGATAATGAAGGGCCTGGCCTCCGACTTGGAGCTAAAGAACAGGAGGAGAAGCAGAAGCAAGAAGGTCGAGAACTTGGCAAGTATTCCTATCGCCATGCCGGCGACGTGGGATATTAGTTTGTGTGTGCGCGTGCGCATATAATGATACTGAATGCTAGCTGAGAATGTCTTAGACACACATATATATATATATATATATATGAGATTTTTTTTTTGAAGAGCCAAAGCACATTATGTACTGTATACACGTGTTTTATGTGAGGGGCTGGAGGCTGAATATATATACACATGGTTAGGTTCCAACGTTCAACAGAATGAATGGAAAATGCCGGAGGTTGCATGTGAATCGGAAATAACGAGGAAGGTTCGCGGGTTAGAAATCAAGGAAACAAATTATAGTAATTAGTAGTGGAGACCGCTTGATTCGTATTGTCGTGTTTCTGTACTAATGAGAATTGCCTGACCAGTCTAAGCAAGATCTGACCGAAGCATCTCTCTCTTTCGCACTCTATTGTGCAAGATCGTGAGGCGCCCATTGGTCCTCCTTTTCTCTTAATTTCTATATAATTTAGTTACGTTGAGTATCTAATTTGGCAAATTACTCTTTCAGTTCTTAATACAAGACCCATTTAACTAATTTGATTAAATTAAAGAAGTTAGGTAAGTTAGTTAATTATAAGAAAATTGACACATTTTTTAAAACATCATAATCATCTTTCTTAATACCCCCTCTCTCTTTTACTTAATTATGGTTGAGGGAGTATCTATAGGGGTAATTTAGAGAAAATTGATAAATATGAGAAATGGGTCTTATATTTAGGACCAAAACTAACTCAAAAATTGGGTCCTATATTAAGGACCGGAAGAGTATATTATATACTTACGTTCTTTTTTCTTTTCTTTACAATATACATGTGTATATATATATCCGTGGTGGCTTTGCTTTTTCTACGTGCAAATAAAAACAGGAGAACTATCGATCGGACCGAAAGCAATTTAAGTTTGGCAATAGAGGAAAGACGTTTCAAAACTTGCTTACGGTGAACGTCAAATTGATTAAGATAGGGCCATCGAAAACTGTTAAACTGGTGAATGGTAGAATCTAATACTTTGACTTTCCAACCGTGCATCACGACTACTCTGATCCTGGTATTGCCGAAAAGATCGCACATCAGGAATTCACGGATAGCTTCACGTGGCTGCGGTCCAAGAGAAGGAAGACCGTGGCTAGAGATTAAACATACACTCCATTCACTTCAAAATATAAGCTAAAATTTACTGGAGGGGTTTGTTTTTTTTATAAGATAATATTCACTTTTATCTAAGCATTTAATGAGTTTTTTTTAATTTTACCTCACATATATTCTTTTTATTTTTTGATTCATTTATTGCATCTTTTACTTATTCTTTTCATTAATAAGGGCATTTTTGGAAAGAAAAAATTTATGCCTTACATATTTATTGTTTTGAATTGATTTTAACTAATTTCTTGATAAACGTAAGTGGATAAAGTTTAGTTTATATTTTGAATCGGAAGGAGTATAATGGAGTGATACAAATTGGAATAAAATGTAAATAAGCCTAGTTTGAACTTGTTTGGTAATTAAAATCGAAAAATGTTTTCCTCCCCACATGAATCTATTAAATTCACTGTTAAATCGGCTACTCACAAGGTCAAGATTTAGAGATAATAAATATTAGTGCACGTTTTTTGAAGGAAAGTTGAAAGGGTCAACGCGTTAAATCTAATAATTAATTCAATCCATTAAATCTTGTCGGGTCAAGGTTCGGTAACAGAAATTATCACGGGACGATCTCGTCATCACTTAGCTTCGAGCTAGCTCCGTTTGATATGCGTCTCTCATGTGCTGAAATTAAAGTTCATAGCCGTTTAGGAATAAAACATCTAAGTTTTGTCTTTCACAAAATTAAGTAAAATAAAATATCTAAGTTTAGCTGTTCGCAATATATGCACATGTAGGTTTTGCTACCTCTTGATTATAATTAAATCAAAATGAATATTCCACCAATACCGCGTGCTGGTAAATAACTTCATATCCTTATCGAGAGATCGACGTTTATTTATAGCTGGTTAATTAATTAATCCACGAAAATTTGACTTTATATGTATTCAATTCTCATATAATTTATTTGTTATAGTATTTTTTTCCCCAGCGTTTCAATCAAAGTATTTGGTGCATACATATATACATAGGATTCGCATGCATTTTTGTGGCATGAAATTATTTTCTTATTCATCGTATCCGGACGTACTATGAAAATTACATCATAACATAAGCTCTGCAGTTTGCACGCAGAACATCAGCGTGGCTGCAAAGTTACAAAATTAACAGAGAAAACAAAAACTACATTTAATTCAAACAGTAGACAATCACGTTTTTGTTCTTAACATAACATATGAAAAAAGAACTAAAAAACCAAATTGGTGGATATATAGCGAAATAATGTATATAAAGGAATGAAGGAATCAATTAATCTGCAAATTGCCTGGTAATTAGATGGTGCAGCTGGCAACTGGCTAGTGCCCTTGGCCGGGGCTAGGACCAGACTCCTTAACATCCCCAAAGGTCCGGCTGTTGGTAAACTTGTGTCCTTGTCCTCCAGAGCTAGGACCCGAGTTCTTGATCCCTCCCAAAGTCTCAGAGTTGGTGAACTTGTGTCCCTCACCAGGGCCGCTTGGCCCTGATTGCTTCATTGATCCCAGAGACAACCAATCAAACACATCCAGGTCCTCCCTAATTCCTGTGTTCACTTCCCTAGTGATGCTCAAAGGCCGAGCTTCTGATAGTGTGAAGACAGTGTTCACCAACAGAAACAGAACCAAGAGGCCCTGAACTCTGAGCACTGCGGTTGTCATGCTTTTAAGTTGGAAGATAAATAAGGCTCGAGAGTACAAAAACAATGCTCGAAATTGAAGGCAAGATAGAGAGATAGAGAGAGAAATAAAGTGTCTGATGTTTTAATTAGAGTTGTGAAGGACATGGAGACACTTAGATCCAGGAATCCCTTAAATAGGATTGGCCTGCATGAAGTTAAGAGTGGAAGGTGAGTCAGGTTGGTTTGACTCATGCATATTCCAACGATAAGGCTTGAAAATCCATTGCCATATTCAAACCCAATTTGAATAGATTGATCATATTCTCGGGGAGGAAGCAGCCGAGGAGGTTTCTGAAAGTCCTTGAAATATATATATATATATATTTATTTGACTGCGGACAGTTATCTAACTCCCTGGGAGTATCTACTAAAACATGGAATTGATCGAGGAAGAAGACAGAGGAAGGGTTACGTGTCCATATGGGATAGGTTGAGTTTCCGTTGGTACCCACGGCATCAGTGAATTCATCGGAAAAGTTGAAGCGCGCGAGGCGCTCCAAGATGAAGACCGAAGACTAAATACGTGACGTCACTTGAGTTTGAACATCAGGATATGAAAGTGGTGGTTGATTTATTGGGGCAGCATGTTGTGACCAGTCAAAATAATTAAAAGACGTCGCCTGTGTGACTGTGTGTATGATGGCCGATCAATGGGCGCAAGCAGGACGAAAGTTCGTAGCCAGTGAGAAATAACAATACAACTTTTATTTTGGAAGCCGAGATGGCAGATTAATGCCAAGTTTTGCTCGCCTTAAGATTTCATGCTATAATTAGAGCCACAAAGCTAGATCGTGTCTACTAATAACTCAATATGCCCATATAGTATTATATTAAAAAGAACATGCGCCACTGGTAAGTCGCTTTCATTTGAGGAGTCGAAGTCTCAAAAGCCATCGCATTTCTTTTTGTTATGTGTACAAGTATACAATCACGACAGATGAAGATATATAAGACTAAATAAAGTATTCAAAATTATAGTCAAATTCAAATTGTCATCACATGCCGGCAGCCTCTTATTTTGAAGAGTACGTATGTTGTATTTTTCCTGCTTTTCCTTCTTTCGGTTGGGGGAAAACAAATTAAAAATTCAATTTGTATTGTAACTGACTAACTTCTTATTAGAACATTTTTTGAGGACAAAAAGGGGTGCTTTTTTATTTTATTTTATTCTGTGCTGCTGTACGACTATATTCGGCCTCAATAAGCATGAGCTATGACGATTTCACTGACGTTGGCCCAGCGTCTGTCCATAACTTGCACCCTTCCATACAAGTAAAGTTCTTTTGGGGGAGCTATAGTAATAAAGTGATAAAAAGAACTGTGATTTCACAAACAAACTGTGTTGCTGTGTCGAAGTACAGAGACTAAGAAAAATAATCAAGAAAGAAATTTTAATTAAATTAAAGAAAAGAACGTACTTTAATGATGGTAATTAAGTTTCGTGAATGCATATATCGCCTAGTTAAATGGTAATAGGAGAGAAAACTCTCTTCCAGCAGAGTTGTTTTGCTGTGTGAACCAGTTAATTTGAGCATTTAGCGAATGAGCGATTTTCGAAGTCATGGAACATATACGTTCCTCCCATCCATCTCACTGTGCTACTCATACTTTTGATGATTGTAATAGCTATCGAGCTATCAGAGGAAGGGATCCGATATTAACCCTTCACAGAGTCATACTGCTATTCTCTTTTGTCGTCTCTATGATAATTAAGTTTGACAAGTGTCCAGTATGAAGCCTGAAGTATGTGTTCCGGATTCGCAATTACGAAGATTGTTGTTCCTGATATATATTATCCTGATGAGACCCTACAAAACGAAATAAAAAAAAGACCGGGGAAGAGTTTGTTCTGTGAAACAAAAAATAAACATTGCATACACAACGCTGGTTCCCGCGCCCTTTGAAGATGTTCTGGTCTTGCTTTTCGTATTTCTTCGAACAGAAGATTTGTGTCTATCGTAGCTTAAGTTTTTTTTTATCCTGGTAGTGATTTGTTGCTAAAGTTAACCATTATTAATTAGCTAAGGATTGGAGATGAAAGTAATACTTGGGCAAAAAACAAACACAGAGAAAACCATTAAGATTATCAATCTGAATTCTTTATCACGCCGGCAGAAATAATACATCTAAAATATAATACACACGCATAATTGTTATCTAATGATTATTTGTAACTTAAAGTATTTAAAAAATAAAAATATGTTAAGGAATCAAATTAACAATACATAAATGTATGCATGTATATTAAATTTGAAATATTTGGCCTCCCGGCCCCAGCTTACGTCATTATACATATAATTATATTATATGCAATACAATCATAATATTCTTGGTAACACAAGATCTTGAAGAAGGGGAAAAAAAAAAAGAACCAACAAACCAAAAGAATGAAGGAGTTAAATAATCTGCAAGTTTCTTGGTGATTAGATGGCATGTGGCCGATGACTAGTGTCCTTGACCGGGGCCGCTGGGGCCGGAGTCCTTAACATCTCCGAAGGTCTGACTATTGGTAAATTTGTGTCCCCCTCCTCCAGCGCTGGGACCCGAGTTCTTAATCCCTCCTAAAGTGTCGGAGTTGGTGAACTTGTGTCCCTCCCCGGGGGCACTTGGCCCCGACTGCTTCACTGATCCCAGAGATAACCAGTCAAACACGTCCGTGTCCTCCTCAATGCCTGCGTTCACTTCCTTAATGATGCTCAAAGGACGAGCTGCTGACACTGTGAAGGCACCGTTCGCTAACAGAAACAGAACCAAAAGACCCTGAACTTTGAACGCCGCCGTTGCCATGCTTTCAAGTTGGAAGACAACAAAGCTCAAGAGAGTACAAAAGCAAATGGTTGAAAGAGAGGGATGTAGAGAATGAAAGAAGTTGTTTGATGGATTTAATCAGTGCAAGATATGGAGTCCTTAAATAGGATGGCAAGCATGAAAATGGGAAGAGAGGAAGGTGGGGGTTAGGTTGTTGGGTTGACCCGGGCATATCCAAATGGGAATGGATGACCAATTTCGCTTGGCTCCCACGGCAGTGAAGTCATGGGGAAAGTTGAAGCGAGGGGCTCGTTGGAAGATGAAGACCAAAGGCTGGAATTGCCTGACATCACTGGTTGGTTTTGAATATTCCGAATTAAAGTGGTTGATTAGTTGGAGCAGTACGTGGTGACCGGTCAAAAGTAAAAGACGTCGTCTGTGACTGACTGACTGTCTTCGTGGCAGCTCGGGGGCGCGGGTGAGACGAAGCTTCGTACATGACTGAGACCAGTGAGCGATTAGCAATTAGCGATTAACTTTGCTTTCCAACTTCTTTTTGCCGTTCCTTTTTCTGGGCCTCATGGTGTTTGAGCCCAAAACGGGATTGGGCTAAGACAAATTTACTATTACCTGGTCCTAAAATAAGAGTTAGTTATTAATTAAATCAAACAACAACAAGCCTTATCCCACTAGGTGGGGTCGGCTAATGAATCACACGACGCCATCGTGCTCTGTCAACAACCCAATCCTTAATTAGTTATTAATTTAAATAGATTAAAAAATAAGTTGAGTTGTTTTTTTAATAAATAAATATTATCTTTTTTAAATATTTTTGTTAATCAAGTTTATTGGCTAAAACTGCTATATTAAAAGAATTATCTTAGAAAAAATGAATAAATGTGAAAGATAAAAGAATTGAAATCTTATATTTATGACCAAAATAAAAGTCAAACGAGGCCTTATATTAAGGACCGAAGCTAGTATTTCATTGCTGGTGGCCCAAAACATTAAATACGACGAGAAAACGAATATTCACGAAATACTGGTCCGTGGTCTAAAAGCTTGAAAAGGAGACTGTGAACGACGTCATGCAGTTCAGCTGTAGCTAGCTTATCCTGAGGAGAGTGGTGGCGGCCCGGCGGGTTTGCAGACACCCAAAGCCTTTCTACGGGTAAGGGTTCGGATTCAGAGGACGGATGCATATATATATGGTGCTCGAAATTCAGACGAATGTGTTTATCATCCAGTGAATCAGAATATTCTATGCACTGCAGCAGCTAGTCTTTTAATTGTTGAAATTTATTTATTGTAATTGAAATTGTTATAAGTATACGTAAAAGTTGGATGAATTTTGTTAGGAAGTAAACATTATGAATATTTCCCCCAACAGAGATATGCACGCCCAGAGGAAACTGTGAATCAGCGATTAGCCAGCTCATCGTCGGTGTACGTGGCTCGCAATTGGCATGATTGTTATTTTATGTTTTATAATTTCTGTTATAGTCAATCAACTTGACAAGCTTCTCTCACTGAAATTCTTTTGAAAAGCTCCCCAATGTTCATCTCTTTTTTTTTTCTTTTATTTAGGAGGTGTTTCACTAAGAAGCACTTTTTAAAAATATTTTTACGCAAATTGAAATAATTTTTTTTTTATATTTTAATGTCAAATATAGTAAAAGTACTTTTTAAATTATGATTTGGTTTTCATTTAAACACTATTATTTATATGCAATCCCATGAATTTGAAGAATAGATTTCTGTTAGTTTTACTGATCACTGATATTAAATTAAGTTTTTTACTCTTCTAGAATTACGAAGACAGAAATTAATAATAAGAAAATTGCTGAAGAGCACGGGTGAAAATTCCCAGACGAAACCATCTCTGGCTGTTCGGGCAGGGGCTGGAAGACCTTGATTCGTTTTTCTTACTCGGCTACCATGTCAATTCGTTTAGATCCTCATACGTAGGTTCAACGTGTTTTAATTTTGACACCATTATTCTATTTTTTTAAAAAAAATTGACCCAACGGTACACCCAACCAAGAATTAACAAGTGTATTTCCATTGTGGGCAGTTGGGAAGCCCCATCAGCACTATTCTTCTGAATCGGATCCCATGACAAATTCATACGTAAGCGGCACGGAACCCTCCGCCGTACTCCTTAACCTAACTCTTTGCACCAAGAAAATCCACAGGCCCATTCCATGTTGGCCCATATTTACTTGAGAGAATAATATATTACAATTTTAAAAAATAAAAAATGTGAAATATTAAATCTGTGACGGAGCACACAAGCAGTACGGCTTCTTATCATTTAAGCAAATGCTTCTTATATCTTCTACCTACCTATCACTCTGATCTTATATGTAAACCACTTGTTAGAGAAAGTCTTGATCCTAAATGTAATTCATTTGTAATATTATTTAATGCTTATTTTCGATTTTACTTTTATTTAGTTTTCATTAAAAAAAAGAGAAAGAAGGAAAAGATACAAGAATGATTTAGACAAGTGGAGGGAGATAAAACGTTAACAAAACAATCTTATGTATTTCTGGTATATGATAATAGGTTACAAATGACTTATATCAAAGAGAAGAGTCGTATATGTTATGTTCCAAATTTCAAGATGTTATTACTTGATTATAATAATACCCCTATTAACTTGGGGCATTAGACTGAGGAAGTTGAGATTTAAATATTAAATCGTTAAATGGAAAGCAAAACTGGGGGAACTGGGAAGAATCCTACTTGTAATTTTTTTGAGCTGTAAATAGAGGAGAAAGCACCATGCTGTAGCTAGCAAACCCAACTTTTACCAGTATTCTATTTTACCAACCAGCTTTTACTAGTATTCAATTCAATATAATTGTAAAAACAATTAATAAATTTTTCACAAAAATAGAAATTCCTGTTTTGGGAAATGGTTTCATGTCTTTCTTTTTATTCTATTTAAATCGTGCTGGGAGATTTAGTAATGTTTACATATGAGTTAATAGATAATATAGCAGACATGATAATTGTTAAAAATTAATAAAAATCAAACAGAAATAAAAGCTACTTTTCCTTTTCAAAGACATCATTTTGGTATTTTTTTGGAATCTTAAAAGATAGTAGTTAACAAGCAAGAGAGTATTTCCTTGTTTTTTCCGGCTAATTTTTGTTTTAGTTGGGTATGATATCTTTCATTCAATTAAAGCAACACTAGATCCCAAATAAAAATAGCTTTAATAATAATTACAGTAATAGCAACCATTGCATCTTACGATATTTTTGTAATGTTTAGCATCCTTTGGTTGACAACTGAAGGTGCCACCCATGCTTTCTTTATCCATAACAATTTCTTTAGCCTCGTTTAACACTGAACATTCTCTTCCTTCATCTTCTTTAACTCATCTAGCATTAGATTTTCCATCAAGCTAATCAAAGTAATTGCATGCCCATCTCTCCTAAATGTGAAAGATATGAATAAAAAACCATTAAATTTGTGAGAGAAATTCTGAAGGCTAGCAATTTAATCAGATTTAAAAATAAACATGTCACTCGCTAACCTTGAAATTTGGACATTTAAGAAATCTATTATAATTTTGTTTTATTCATGAAGTGAGGACTATAACTTCATTTCCATATCTACATCTTTGGACACTCGTTTCACCTGCGCTTTTTGCCCATGGTGTGTGAAGATGAGCTTCTACTAAAAGCCATTAAACTTCACTACAACAAAGAAGAGTTTCGATGTTTAGGTCTGGTATGTGAATACTACAAGACGAGATCGCATAAAAAATTACTTCCTACAACCTCCTCTTACCTTTGCCAAATTTCTCTGCCTTTGCCGACATTTCTCTCCCTCCAACCGCCCCTCCTCTTTCCTTGATTTAAACGATACTGGATCCCAAATAAAAATAGCTTTATACGAGTAAGATATTTTCATTACCCTAGCCGCCACTTCCCAAGGTTATGGCGATTTCCCTCTTCTTTTAATTATGGTTCAATCATACAGGGGAACTACTTTCCTAAACAAGGTATTTGTTTCTTGTCTTTTGTGGAACAAATTTTTTTTAGGGAGGAAAATTGAATGCAGCGGTGGCAGGTTTCGATGAAATGAAAGATCACAATGTGCTAAGGCTTCCGAGAGAAGGCGCTAAGCAGTCAATTTTGAACAGCTCAATAGAAGGCGATTGATGAGGACCGAGTGAGGGGCTCTGTTCTTGAAACTAATCGCCAGCCAGCAATTCCTCAAGACTTGAATTTGAATAAATCCGAAATCGCGAGCAGTGTTCACCGTTCCCTTAAAATGATTGTCCCTGTCTCTGTGAATCTCCTTCCGGGATCAAACTCAATTATATGTTCTTTCTCGGTCCCTTTCTTCTTTTATTCCTGTCACTTCTCCTTTGCTCTGATTAGCCCCATTCAATATGTATGTTTATTATTCTGTTCTCGGACTAGCGATTTCCCTTTCTCTGTCTCTCTCAGCCCTTGCTTTGTCATCCTGGCTTCTCCACT